TACGACATTTCATCCACAGACGGATGGGCAGGCAGAGCGGACCATTCCACCTAAAAGAATATGTTGAGAGCTTGTGTGATCGATTTCAAAGGTAGTTGGGATGATTACCATACTCTTATTGAGTTTTCCTACAATAATAGCTATCATTCTAGCATTCAGATGGCCCCTTATGAGGCTTTATATGGGCGTAGATGTAGATCTCCTGTTGGTTGGTTTGAAGTAGGTGAATCTGCTTCGATAGGGCCAGATTCATTCCTTTATGCTATGGAGAAAGTGCAACTCATTAGAGATAGACTTAAGACAGCCCAAAGTCGTCAGAAATCTTATGTAGATGTAAGGATAAGGGAACTAGAGTTCAATTGGATTTTTCTGAAGGTCTCACCTACGAAAGGGGAGATGAGATATGGAAAGAAAGGGAAGCTCAGTCCTAGATATGTAGGGCCCTAAAAGATCTTTAAAAGGGTTGACAAAGTGGAATATGAATTAGAGTTGCCAGCAGAATTAGCAGCAGTGCATCCGGTCTTCCACATCTCACTATTGAAGAAGTGTGTGGGTGATCCAGCCTCTATAGTGCTATTAGAGAGTGTGGTGGTGAAAGATAGCCTTTCTTATGAGGATGTTCCAATTTAGATTCTTGACCGTCTACTCAGAAGGTTGAGAAACAAAGAAGTCGTTTCAGACAAGGTTTTGTGGAGGAGTCAGTCCGTAGAGGGAGCTAATTGGGAAGCAGAAGTAGCCATGAAAGCCAAGTACCCTCACCTCTTTCCTTCCAATTCCACTCCAGCTTGAGGTAATAGTTCCTTTTCAGTTTTCCAGTCATTCATGTATTTTCCCTCAGTTTGTACTTGCATTGTCAGCGTATTTGCATATACTCGGAACTCAATTCAGTCAGAAACTTAGTTCTCAATGTTTAGTAATGGGGTTTGAAGCTCTCTCCCTCTATTTAAGCTAGTTTAGTCTTCATTCGAGGAAGAATGTTCCTAAGGGGGAGATAATGTAACACCCCGTAGCCAAAATAGACCAAAACTCTGTTTTTTAAAAAAAATTGTAGGTGCAACCAATGGTGGCATCGACGGTCCGTCCTACACAACCGTCGATGGGATCAGAGACTCCTAAAAACTTCAACCTAGAAAAATTGGTTAAGTCTTGGATGACAGACTGACTTACAATCCTTAGGACAGACGACGGTCCGTTCTGCACAACCATCGATGGGATCAGAGACTCTCAAAAACTTCAGGCCAGAAAAATTGGTTAAGTCTTGGACGACGGACAGACTTACGGTCCGTTATCAGACGACGGACCATCCTGCACAACTTTCAATGCGATAAGAGACTCAAAAAATCAGCTGGGAAAAATTAGTTAAGTCTTGGATGACGGACAGACCGTCAAACATGCCCGTCATTTGGTCCGATAACAACTTACTCAGGGGTCTTTTGGTCCTTTCTCACTTCGTTTAAACCTTAAGTTACGTCTTTTTTGACCTAAATAATTTGATTTTAGTCTATTTAAGCCTAGAAACATAATTAAAACATATATAAGTCAAATCATTAAATCAAAACTTAGAAAATTAGAAGCAAGAGAGGAGAAAAAGCTCAAGAACCCTAGTTCAAGAACGCAACAAGCTCCAGCAGTTCCAGCCCCAAAACCTAAGTATTTTTCTGTGGATTTCATAACCAAGTATGTGGGATTTAACTAGTGGGATCCTTTCACCAATTGGGTCCTTAGTTATCAGTTAGATTCTTGATTTATTAGTTATCACTTAGATTCTTGATTCTCTTATCATGATTAAATCTAGGTCTAGAACTTTGTTAGAACTTCATGAATTTAATAAATATATGTTCCAAATCATATTATCATGTTATTACTCAGATTATCACATGAATTTTAGAACCCTAGCTTTGTATTTCTTTAGTTCTTAAATTATACATGATAGGTCAGATATTTCAGACACTTCAGATATACATGCCTCAATTATAAATGCATAATTACTAGATTAATTATTGGATTCTCAGTTTGCATGTTCAGTTTCGAGCTATCCAGTATTTACAGAAACTCAGACATAATCAGTAAATTTATAAAATTCATTGGGAGTAGCATAATACCGAGTTGGACTAGGGTTTAGCGTACCCAAAGTCTCAGAACTACTAGACAAGTAGGTTGTAAGTCCCCTCTGTGGGCAATAAGTTTAGTGATCACGCCAGCATGCCTTTATACCTCTGGCAGAGTATATTGGGTCCTCTCGATGGGGCGTAGACATCAGACTCCACATTTAGCTCATGTGGTTTTATTATCGGTTATTAGTAGCTCCTAAGTTCAGTCAGAGTCTATGCATTGACCATTTATCAGTATTTTCAGCATTCAGTCTCAGCATGTTATAAATTGGTCATTGATTCAGTTAGCTCAGAATTCAGTTATCACGTCATATTATTATACTTGTTTTTATGCTTGTTCAATTATGTTTTATTTCAGTTTTACTCTATCATGCATGCTCAGTACCTTTCAAGTACTGACACATACGTGCGCTACATCTTCTCTTGATGTACGTTCAGGTTCTTAACATCTAGATCATGCATAGATCGATTTTCTGATCTCTAGTTCAGCAGATTCAGTGGTGAGTCCTCATTTTCCGAGGACAATAGTCATGAGTTCATTTCAGTTTTCATTTAGTCATTTAGTTTCAGTTTTTGCTAAATTTAGCTGGGGCTTGTCCCAATATTTTTAGTCCAATTTAGAGGCTTATTTCAGACAAAATTAGATTTAGCTTAGTATTGAGTTAATATTTCATTTGTATTAAACTCATCAGTTTTCATATATCAATTTTAGCATATGGGTATTCCCCATCTTTTCAAATTTAATTATGATTTAACTTCCACATCAGTTTATTATCTTTAGTATGTTCATGATCATGCCAGCAGGGTTAGCTTGGGATCACTTGTGGTCCTAGGTTGCGTGTCCGCGTCTCCGGATAGTTCAGGGCTTGACAGAAGAAATTCGAGTTGTTTCTCTTCATGAAAAAAAACTAGCTATTAATAATATAGGGCTTCTACATGTTTAACCTTAAAATATGATAACTCGTTGTGTCAGTAGGTTCATGTCTGTATAATAATAAAACATACATGAACGTTCTCTTGTTTTGTTTTTTTTTTGTAAATACATATGACTTTTGTTTCTATAAATTGCCAAGTTTTTTATTTAGAATCTGGAAAAGAACCATTGCTTAATTGAGATTTGAAAAACAAATTGAGTTTCAAGCGCAAGAGGTTTGAACTTTACCATCAATAAATGGTGAATTGATTAGTAGTGGTCTCTCATAATGGAAGTTTGGGTTCCTTTGTTTTGGATGAAGCAAGAAGTTCTGATTCTTTGAGTATGTTCATAAACAACAGTTTGGAGCTTGTGTGGTAATTTTTACCTTCTCAATTATAATTTTCTCTTCAAATTTGAGTGGCGAGTCGTCGCTCAAATGTTTTAGATTAAGTCACGAAGTGTTCTTTTGTTGTTGGTATGGGAATATTGGTACTTTCTTTATCCTTTTGTTTTAGTTCTGATTGATAATAATACCAATTGATCTCCAAACTTTGTTGGATTGTAATTCTAGTTTGTAGCTCAATATATGAGTTTTTAATTATCCTTGATATTCAAAGTAACAGATTGTGGCATTGAAGGTTAACAGTTCAAAACGTGAGTTATTTTTGATAGGATTGGAACATCTGTGCTACTTACAGCCATTTGGTTTAAGATTTGTTCATGATAAAACACTTGTTCTTTAGGAGTTTATTTGGTACGAAACAAAAAATGAATTTCTTATTTATTTTCTTGTGTTCGTTACATAAAAAGAATTATATATCTTGAAAGAATTTGCATATAATTTAGACAAATATATGGAGAGGAGTCTCGATATAACTGGTAAAGTTTCTACCATGTAACTAGGAGGTAGAGCTGTCAAAAATGAGCTGACCCAACCCAACCCTAACGGGTTAGAGAGTTAAATCGGTTCCGGCGGGCTGAACTTCAACCAAAAAAAATGAACAATATTACTCTCTTAGAAGGAGTATCTAAGAGAATCAAATGTTGACGTCTATGAACAGGACATCAATACATACAAATTTCCATAAATGAATCGCACACTTCAGCGAATACTTATAGATATACATTTATGAATCTCACACTTTGGTGAATGCTTACCAAAATACATAACGTCACCGTAAGATTTAGTGAAAAAACATATTGATCATTCAACTATTCCTCCAACAAAAAATAAGCTAGTTTAAAAGACTTGATTTTTTTTATGTTTTTAGCATATTGATAAAACATTTACAAATAAAACATGCTACATATATATATATACATATATATATATATATATAAATAGGCCACAGACTGGCCTCTGAGGCTTGCGGGTTGGGCCTACGACGCTAGAGAGTCAAGTGAGGCTGCGCTAAAAAGCCTCGTTTTTAAATGGGCCAAAAAAATTAGGCCCAATCCCACTTAATTCAAAGGTTGGGTTGGGGCCGACCTTGCGGGTCAAACCCATTTTGACAGCTCTAATAGGAGGTCACAAATTCGGGCCATGAAAATAACCTTATATAGAAATGCAGATAAGACTGTATACAATAGATTCTTGTGGTCTAACACTTTCTTGGACCCTACATATTGCAAGAGTTTAGTGCATTAGGCTACCCTTTTTCAATATGAGAGGTGGGGTAAGGATAGGTGTGGGGTGGTGAGGATAGGGACTACATGGTGAGGTAAAGATGAAATATTATATGTATCTAGGTCTACTTTTGGCGACCAAAACTTATAAGTGGGAATTATTTTTTTGGAAATAAGATTGAACTATAAAACAACCATAAGGCTTTGATATAATGATAAGAGCACATCACGTGACGTGTGATTTAGACGCACATTATCGCGTCATACTAGTCGCTATAGATAAATGCCAAGTATCTAAGTGGAGATGACTAGAGGTAAGAACTCATTATTCATTTGAGTTTCGAATCTTGCTTCATTGACACACTTGAGATTTCTAGATTATAAACAAGAAGAAGATTGAAATCTCTACAACTTGGACTTAATATTTTGTAGTTTGAATGTCAACATGATGAAACATGTGATAACTTGTTGAGAAAAGCAAATGCCCAAGACCTAGGCCCAAAATTTTTAGTACTTGTTGAAATATAGAGCTGCATGAGATATTTACAAAACTGAAATCCTCCAAAATCACAAAGGAAAATATATCTTAAACAATCTAACGATTTCCCCATCAAATGAATTGAAAGAGGGTACATCAGTTTCAGTTTCTTGGAGAAAACCATCTAAAGAACATGACAAGAATGATGGCAGAGGCTCTGAATGATTTCATAATGAGTAACCTCCATGCTCCAAGTTAGAATGCGCGGTGAAGAAATTGAAGTCATGGTGACTATAAGAAAGCTGCTTCAGCCATGAATCTGCAGCATTTTGAAGATCACATAGCTTTTCATAGTCCTTCTGTGTATGAGTGTTTAGCCATACATCATTTTGCATCTTGTATGCAGCTAAGCCAAATGGACTAAGCCGAATTTCACTTTTTCCATCGGGGTTCTCTTCTGCAACATCTGAAAACAAAAGGCACATCACTCAGTCAAGTAGGGCAGAGTGATACTGAAAAATTCTTACATTGTCATTGTCAGTGTGTACAACTTAAATCAAATATAGCGAGTCTAAAATACATACCTTGGAAAGTTGATGACAATGTATGGTAGGTAAGAAAGCTTGCAGAAACATTTTTAGTAATTCCTTTCATTGGAACATGGTAGATTGGATACCTAATAATATGATGTAAAACAAATAACTTGGATAAGTAAATTAAACATGAGAGAAAGTATCATCTTTAACTAGCTTGATCAAAGGAAAAAAACATTAAGAAGATTAATATATATGTACCAAGCAACAGCCATCCAACTTGCAGCAGATAATTCAGTGCTCTTTAGCATCGCGAGTCCAGGATAGTGCTGAGTAAATTCAAGGATCTATAGGAACCCAAACATATATTAGCTTCATAAAAAGATGTGAAATGATACTATTGATCAAATCCAATTTAACACAAGTGTCATTTCACTATTCCATTTGATACTTTGTTATCTTTCAACAAACAGATACTAGATACATTTCTCAGCCAAAGTTATTGCTAAGGACCGAAATAATCTACTATCATCTGGAAGCTAACACAATAAACCTCAAAAAGATCATGAGTAAAAAGAGAAATGAAAAATACCGACATTGACACAAACATTTAACGTGGTTCGGTCAACTGACTTACGTTCACAAGAGGAGATAAACAAATCACTATTTTTAAATATGAGAACAAATTATCGTCAGAATTAACTTCACATAATTCACATGCAATAAAAAGAGGGGAAAATTGTATAAAATAGCAAACTAATAACCTAAATTAAATTGAATAGCTAGGGTTTGATTTAATTGTGCTCCATAGCAAACATTGACAAAAATTTGCCAGGCGTCTCTCTCCCAGAAGTCTCGCTCGCCACTCTCCCATTCTCGCCTCTCTCGCTTTATACACAGAAGTGTATAATTTCTGTTTCTGTTTTGTATAAAGCGAGAGAAAATTGTATATACACATGCAAAAATGTATATCTTCGTGTTATACACTTAATTATATAATTTACAAACATTTTACTTCAAATATTGCAGAGAAAAAGGTCAAAGAATTATACAATTGTGAATTATACAATTGCAGTGAAATACAATTTTTTCTAGCTTTATACAACAAAAGTGTATATATTGTGTTTCTGTTTTTGTATAAAGCGAGAAAAACATATATCTTCTTGCTATACACTTATAATTATGCAATATACATTCATTTTAATTCGATTCAACTGCATGCAAAGCTAATTATACAATTGCAGCGAAATAGGCCAGCGAATTATACAATTAGGCCAACGAATTATACACTTTTATATGTATAGCGAATTATATAGTTTTTATGTTTGCTATGGAGCGCAATTATGCAAAGTTTGCTATATTATACAAATATGATTTTTTTGTTTGCTATATGTGAAAGTTGCCCTAAAAAGAGTCCTACCAGGAGAGGACTAACAAAATATGGATATTAAGGAAAAGGTACTTAAATATGGACCATATTAGTATAACAATAAGCCTATCATACTGAAACGATGGAAGCTGGATTTTGATTTTAATCAAGACATTGTCTAACCACTATGGGCGAAGTTACTTGGTTACTTATGGGCTATTGGCCTACTGAAGCTCGAATCAAAGTGGCGAATGCAGTAGGGAGACCTTTACACACAAATTGCTTTACAATCAACTCTTAGAAGATCTCATATACCAGAATTCAAGTTGAAGTGAATCTCTCATAATCCTTGCGCGAGGTTATTCAAATTGAGGCCTCGATTTAGCAAAGTCCCCTCTCCTACGAAAGTCAAGGATTATAGATCTAACCATATTATACTATACCTATTATAGTCAGTAGACTCGATGTGATCAATCTCTACTTATGGAACAAAGTTGTTATACTGAAACAATTGTTGAATGTATGTATGAAGAAGAATTTTCTATGGATTCAATGAATCTTTAATGTTATGTGCTGCATGGAGCTTTAGTGAGACTCTAAATCTGTAACGTTTGTTACTTTATAAAATATAGTGACTTAGAAACAGTTCAAAAACCTAAGAGAAAACACTACAGTTCTCAACTTTTGGTGTTGTGCATACAAGTAAAGTCTATTCAACTTAATTGATACTTACAATATAATGTATCCCATATTAAAATTTTATGAACCAATTCTTGTTACATCAAAAATAATAAAATTTTACAATTAATGAGTATTAGATGTGACATTTCAAGAGTAATGTGTGTACCTTATCTGAAAAGGGAATTCTCCAAAAAGGAGAGCATGTCTCAGAATACTGGAAATAGAGATAGCCAAGGCGATCTCTTGAAGCATCCAACTCAAAACATGAATCTGCAGAAATGGAGTTGTTACTTATAGTTCTTGACAACTTCTCGCTGTTCTCACTTGCATCACTCCAAGACTCCGTCTCGAAATCCACCTCATGATCTCCAGAAGATGAGTTTCTATACACAACACATAACACCATCATCATTTTCTCAAAGGTACACTCTTACTAAAGAAATTAAACAGAGTTATTGTAATGGTGATACAAGAGGAAATAAACACAAGAAAATATGAAGCAGAAAAGAAACATAGTAAGGAAGAAAGAGGGAATTAAAAGGATATCAATATATATATTAAAGAGAGACATGGGAACAAAGTTTAGAAAGTCTTCCTAGCATTGCGGGTGGTTCCGCGAGCTTTGACAAATAACATAAATTACACTCATATGTTCTTTATATATGCATTGTTAATTATATCTTAATTTCTATTAGTTTCTCAAGATAAATATACATACATATACATGATTTTTTTCGAAGTTAAGTGGTGCACGTGCACCATCATCTATAGGAGTGGGTCCGCCTCTGGGTTTAAGTAAATGTGATTTTCTACTTGATATGGTCTTTATGAGTTAAAGAATGTGTCTAAACATCTTCTATTCAGGCTTGATGAATTCTTGAGTAGAAAATGTAATTGACATGCTCAGAAAAGACCTTTACCCAGCAGGCTAGCACTACTATCTTTTATAAAGCCAAATGGGAAAGTTTTTAAGAACAAGTTTATTGTGTGTAAGTTGGAGAATATTTTTGATAAGAAACATATAGGATAATATATATTTGAAGAGACATAAGATTATGATTAGGTTCTCAAACCTAGCTATTTAACAAACTACATATGAAGGAAAGGTTAGTCATGTAGCTGATTAAGTAAGATCAGAACTCTTGTTTTATTATGTTAACGTTCCTTTTTTATAACAAATTGAAAGAGGCTAAAGTTGTGAATGTCTATAAACTCAAGAATCTTATAAACCTTTAGCTCGAGGAAATGCATCTCAGGTACATCAATTAGTAGGTATGAGAGGATTAATGTCGGATCCTCAAGGACAAATGATTGATTTACCTATTCAAAGCAATTTACACGAAGGACTCTCTTTAACAAAATACATCATTTCTTGCTACGGAGCCTGTAAAGGAGTTAATAAGTTTACAAATCCTGTGAAGTAAGTTTGTTGTATCAACATGAACTGTAAGGAGTCGTTTGGTGTGAGGGATGAGAACAAAAGTCACGGGATAAAAAAAATAGTCATGGATAAATTTTTGTTGGCTTGTTTGGTTGCCATGTTTGGAATAACTTATTCTAGCATCTATAGCATATTGATGGATAAGTTATCCCATATACATGATGTAATACATTATCCCAGGATAACTAATCCCAGAATAGTTAATCCGGGATATCTTATTCCAACCAAAAGTGTTGAAACAACAAATTAAAGAGTTTTGTTATTAAATAGAAGATTGTCAACATAGAAGCTATCATCAAGTGAGAAGACGCGCATCAAGAGCTTATGAAGATTGAAGATGCTACAAGGGTACATATGAGGACTTGTGAAGTTTTTCTGAGTTTGATATGATAAAAAATGAAGAATTTTTTGAAACACATGATCTCTAGGTTTGCATTCAACATCTTATGAAGCTATATTAAAGTTTTCATGAGTAACAAATTGTGTACAAATGACATTCATTGTTGAAGAGTTAAGCTAGTAGTATCGACAACCAAATCATCACATATCTCCAAGAAAAAAGTGAATATACAAGCAACATTACTAGATGATATTCTATCTATCAGAAGTGCTTATTATATATTTTATCTTCTTAAAAAGAAAATATAATGTGATGTGAAAGAGGATAGGAAGAAGCTCCCTTGGTTGCTCCTCCTTTTTAAAAAATTCAACCTCTTCAAGGCTACTTTCACTATGAACAATGATACTCTATCTATTTTCTGTTTTTCTTTCTTTTTTCCTTTTACCTACAATCCCACTAAGGCCCATCACAAATTACCAAATAAATCTACTTCCACTCCTTTTTATTTGTTCTTCCACCTTAGAAAAAAATTAATGTTTTTGTTTGTTTAATTTTAGGTATTTTGTTATTAAAAAAAAAAAAGAAAGCTTTGGGTACTTCCCAATTAATCTCCATACCTGACTATTTAATGATAGTGAATAATAATAAAAATCTAAGATAGAAAATGAAGGGAGGAGAAAGGGAAAATCAATTAGATAGTTACATTTTTCTCTTTGTTATATTTTGGTGAGTGGACACAAAGAAGAAGATTGAAAGAGGGGTGAGGGGACATATGAAAGTTGACTATTTATTTATTTATTTATTCAGAATTCGTTTTCCTTTCTTATTGTTATTTTTATCCTTATGATTTTAATGTGTTTTTAAAATGTAAAGTATTGTATTTATTCTCTTTTAAGGGTATGTACACACTTTATTCTACTTAGTAAAATAGACATTATATAAGTCAAGTTAATAGTCAAAGATGTCCTAACTGTTAATTTTGAATAGGTTTGGATGAAACTCCATATAGCATAATAGCATAGAGACAAAATTGACAAACTAAAATAAGTACAATGATCTCCCTAACTATTCTGCCTAATAAACAAGACAATTAAAGATTAAGAACAAAAATATAATTTCGAAAATATAGTAATGGAAGAAATTGAATATATTAGGCACAAAGCTAGTTTGACTTTTTATGAAAAGAAGCCTTTGTGTTTGCATTACTTGAATAAAAACAGGAAAAGAAAAGTAAATGTATTTCCATTTATGCCTTATTGGTAAAAACAGGCAATTTAATTGTGTTTATTTTTTATAAAGAAAAAAAAATATTTTTCATTCATACCTTATTAGTGAGGAAGCTGATTTGACTGTGTAAATTTGGATTGCTGATAAATAAGGAGCATAATATTGAATAACACTTTCATTATCATCTTTCAAATAAATGGGAGCACCAACACCATATGCACTCCACTCTTCGTAACAGTCCCATAAATCTCTGAGTGTGAAGTACTTATCACCATTTGAATTCCACATGCTATTTTGATCATCCATGTTACTCTACAATATTAATTGACACAATCAAATAAAAGTAAAGAAGATAAGAGATACAACAAGAAATAAACAAAAAAATAAAAATAAAAATTCATTGAAACTACAACGAATTGAAAAAATAGTGATGTGCAACAAAGTGGGGAAATTATTTATAACAATACTATATTATTATAAAGCAATTGAAAGGAATGTAACACAATTTTGAAAAGCCTATATCTTTTTATATATAAAAAATGCCACATGTTCACACTGTCACATCCCAACTTTTTTTTTCTCCTCAACAAATCACATAAAACAAAGAAATCATTTTTGGAATTCTTTACAAAGCTTTAAGAGATTGTGACCATAATAATAAAAAAAATTGACCACCATTATACAAATTTAGAAAATAACTAATGTTGATGTGTTTTTATTTATAAAAAATGCCACATGTTCACACTGTCAAATCCCAACTTTTTTTCTCCCTAACAAATTACATAAAACAATGAAATCATTTTTGGAATTTTTTAAAAAGCTTTAAGAGATTGTGACCATAATAAAAAGAAATTGACCACCATTATACAAATTTAGAAAATAACTAATGTTGATGTTCTTTGGTAAGTACCAGGATGTTGACCAGAGATTGTACCATTGAAAAATTCTCATTGCTAAATTAGCTTGCCACAAGTTTAGATTCAACTTAAAATTAATAACAATTCTTTATACATATGTCTTTTTTTTTAAAAAAAATGGAACAGAATCGTGAATTCTTGATAAATTAAATGTCTTTACGGATAAAATCGGTTAAAAATCCCAAAAAAATTAACAAAAAATGAGGATGGAGGACTTGCATAAACTAAAACACAAATAATTTTTCACATCAAATTGATTAAAAAAAAAACTAAAAATGATAATCACCTTTGGTAGAAGAGGTTTTGAAGTGATAACCGGTGTGACTGATTGAAGAAAACTCTGAACATTTGATCTTTTAGTTGACAAGAAATCAAGTGAAAAAGGTGACATTTTTCTATCTTTGTTTGAACAAGAAAAAAATATTCTTCTTTTCTCTGTGTGTTTTTTACTCTAAATTAAAAAAAAAAGATAAATAAATCTTGCTATAAATACTTGTAAGTAGTGTTTGAAGATTTATGTAATCTTAGATATTTATATTTAAATAAATTTGGATAAGAATAAATTTAATCAAAGTTGACAATTGACTAAGAGTCTCAAAATCTTTTTTCCCCCCTCACTATACTTCACTAGCTTACACTCTAACTATAAAATTTCTAGAGTTAGTCAAAATCAAATTCATGAAAGAATGATGGCAAAGAAAAGTCATTGAATGTGAAAATTAAAAAAAAAAAAAGAAAAGAAAAAAAAGAATTAGAATTGCTAAATAAAAATAAATAAATAAATAAATAAAAGAAATAATAAGATGGACCATGAAATTGAACTTGAAGGGGGGTATATAATGGAAAATTAAAATGAAATGGAAAGGGAAAAAAAGGAAAATTAATGAAAAGGTATTAAAATTCCACATATAACGGAGAAACATATATTAATGAAAACAATTAATAAACTCTTGTAACTCAATTTTTTTCTATTAATAATTAAATGCTAGTTTTAATTGATTACCATTTAAAGGGCCTAATTTAATTTTCATGTGTATATGGAATAGATTCTATATAAGCCAATTATCATCCTATTTTTATTTACAACAGCAAAGAAGAAAAAATAAAAAAGAAGGTCAAAGAGGCAAAAACGTAAATACATGAACCAATTTGAGACTACGAAAAAGGATGGTGACAAAAAGGGAAACAAACTAATAAAAAATTGTGGCAAAGTGATGAAATACATATTTATTTTTAATTAGAGATCTTTAAGTTTCAAAAGTGAATTTTACATATAAAATCACAATTACTAGAATTATTTTACCTATAACATGAAATTTTTTGATACAAATTTAAATTTTATTGAACTAGCTATAACTATCGAGGAAAGACCAGAAAAAATACAAATAGAAAAACATAATTCTAAAAAGAAAACAAGGGGTGGAGAAGTCGAGTAGCTACATAAGTACTTATGTACAAGCAAGACTAGAAAAATTGTCAAGATGATTACAAAATAGAGTGTTTGACGTTAGGACAAACAAACTTTATCACTTATATGACGAAAATAAATTGTTTGCTTGACCATGTGTTGAGAACAACTAGTTCACAAGGTGGCCTTAGCAAAGCAGGAATTAGCAATAATGGTCCATGAGTTGTGATGTTATTATTATTTTGATCCTATACTATTTAAATATGCAAATTTAACTTTGATTAACTTAAATATGTAGTTTTGTCCTTAAACCTAGGAGTGTTCAAGAAAAAACAAAAACACGAACAAAACCAGAATTATTAGATTTTATTTTAGTATTCAAAATCGACAAAATTTGATTTGAGTTTGATAGTATTTTGTTTTTTTTTTTTAAAAAAAAAGCTGAAAAAAAAAACCAATCAATATATATGAATACTATTGAAAAACTATTATACATATAACTATAAGTTTATAATATATATATTGTATAAGTTATTTGTATTTTATTGTATTACGAATCAAAATTTGGGTTAATATAGCACCTACCATAAACCCCTACTGGGCAAGTGAAAACTCAACTACAAACGATAAATTAAAGGGATAAGTATAACTATTCTCTTACATTATGTACGAAATCTCAGAGATACAACTTAATTAAATTAAGATTCTATTATTCTGAATTTTTTTTTTTGCTTGTAATTTCGTATATCTTTTGGCTCACATGACACACTCCTTTACTCCACGTAGTTGAGGCATGTGGGAGACATCTGAATATCACGTAAGCTAAAAAGGTATACAAAATTATAAAAAAAGAATTCAAAAATAATAGAAACTTAGTTTAATTAAAGTGTATCTCTAAGATTTCGGTCATAATCTATAGAATTACTTGTGGCTATCCCTGTATGAAACAAGCATATAACTATGCGGGTGCAATAATAAGAGAGAAGAGGGATCCATTGCATAGATAGACATACAACGAAACAAAACATAGAGAAATGGCCGGAAAGTGACCAAGAAAGATAAAATTATAGAAGAACCAACCCGAACCTTGTGTCACTGGTATAAGAGCATCTATGTATAGAAAGAAATTGTATACAAAAATTATCTACAACAAAAATACAAAATACATCGACAGTACAAAAGAGGAAAAATAGTAACTCTTTTGTAACATCTCAAAAATTTCTAAGATAATACTCAAATCCTTCTTCATTAGTGTATGTCACACCTCTTCTATTTTTATCTTACAATTGTTGAGGATATGACAAGTTTTAAAAAGTATTTTTTTTAGAATCGCCACTTGCAATTGAGTTTTTAGGTGTTCCAAGTCACCCAGTAATTCCTAAATCAAAACAAAAAAAATCTTTATTTTTAGTCTACAAAAAATACAGATTGGGTAAGGAATTCTATTGACCGTAGGGAAGGTATGAGGCACCCTTCGAGTCCAGTGGTTCTAGCACGGTCGCTTTATTTAATTATATTTGGCTAAAAATAATTTTTTGTATAAAAAGGGGAAATTTTGTATTAATTACAATTTTTTTTTGAAAATTTTGATTGGCCTAGAAACATAACCGCACACAAGACCCTCTTTTTTCTTTTTAGAAAGAAAATACACACCAAGGATCGTAACCGAACACATGATGGTTTTTGAAATTTTTTTTATTTTCAAAAAAAACTAATAATTAATTACTCAATTTTTTTAAAATAATGACAAAAATGAATAAATGAATATATTGCAACATATAGACAAGAAAATGATTTTTTTAGGTTATTATTTTTTTTTTAGAGAAAAGACAAAGACACCATCAAAGTTGTCCCATATTTGCATAAAGACATCCAAACTTTTAAACTGTCCTGTCACCCCACTAAACAACTATATATCGTTGTAAATTGACCATTTTTACCCATTGCATCGTCTATGTAGTGTGTGTATTGCTCACTCTCTAGGTAACCCGACCCGACCTTTTTTTTAAAAGAAAATTCGTGAACTCCTTTTCATTTAATTTCTAAACTTTTCCCTAGAATCAAGCAAAATACACAAGTGTTGCTGTTGCCGATAGTGTTGTTGTTGACGATCTCGGTGTTGATCATTGTTGATGTTGTTGATGTGTATTTGTGAAGATTCTTGGAGATTAAAGGTCTAACAAGTTAGGGTTATAAAACATATGATAAAAATCTTCACTTTTTTCGATTATACTGATTTTATGGATTATTATAGTGTAGAAGTGTTAGAATCAACCTCCTACAGTTGCCATTATTAGGATATTTTTGAGTACGTTGGATAATGGACTTAGTTAGTGTAGAGTATTGTGTTATTGACTTAGTGCGACTGTTAGTGAATAGGGTTTTGTGATTGTGTTATAGGTTAGGGTTAGATGTTATCCACTTAGTTCAAATCTTATTATTTGTCTCTTATACATTTGTAGACTTCAATTTGTACATTATCAACTGCTATTGTTAGTGCTTTTATTCTGTTAGTACTGTTAGAGCTAAATGTTAGTGCTTTTTTCTAGTTTTGTTAGTTAGTGTTTCTGTTGTTGTTGTTTGTCAGTGATTATGTTTGTTGTGTACAACTTGTTAGAGTTAGTTATCGAAATGTGTGTTTGAATTGTTGTTGTTGTTATTACATGCTTTTTCAGGATGACTTTTACTCTTATAACTTTATGATGGTATCATGGTGGGTAATAGAATTTGGTCCACCACCTAAATATATTGGAGGGCATGTGACAGAATTCCTAGATGTAGATGTTGATAGGATGTCTTATTTTGAGTTGAGGGACTACATAAAGGAACTAGGATATACAATAGATTGTGATTTTTTCATCAAGTGGGATGGATTATTGGTCCTTGTTGATAATGATAAGGTTATATTTGACCTTTTCAATATGATAAATGATGGGGATACAGTGGAGGTGTGTATTTTTCATGGGGTTAGTGAAGCTAATTAGGCCCTACTTGAATTGGAGTTTGTCCCCCATGTGATTGAAAGTGGGGTAGGTGAGGAATCTTTATTGAGACTTCTAACCCTAATAATCAGCCTCCTACTTCTACTTTTCCTTCCATCCCTACAACTGGTCCTTCTGAAACTTTCAGCACTCCATTTGAAGCTCAGTCTTCTACTGTGCCTCCACCATCTTCTTCTATTGTGTCTCCTTCTTCTACTATGCCTCCACCATATCCTTCTATTGTGCCTCCTCCTTCATCTATTATCCTATAATAGATAATGTTCCAATTGATGATGAAGTAGATGATGAATCAGGATCTGAAGGGGATACTATTGATGATACTGAGGTTGACTATGATGTTCATCAAGAGTATGTAGATATAAGGTCAGCCAAGAGGCATTTCAAAAAGTCACAAAGGATAAGTAGAGGAACTACTTCAGATCTGATTAATGTTAATGAGAAAGGTCTATATATAGGGTATGATGAGACAAATAATGGTATTAGGGAAAGCTTAGTTGGTAAGCTAGGAGGTGATGAACCTTATATCTAAGTGATGAAGTTCCTAGCTTTGAAATAGATGATGAATTCGGTTGGGGAGATGGTGAAGAGGTTGATCAAGTAGTGCATAAACCTGTTAGGAGGTAGAAAACCTCAAATAGAGTTGTTTTTGATACAACTGCTGAAAAGATTGTTTGGGAGTTAGGACTGGTTTTGGGAACAATTGAAGAATTTAGAGTGGCAGTGAGAAGATATGCAATCCAAGAACATATTCAAATTGAAAAATATGTAAATGAGCCTGGCAGAGTTAGAATGAGATGTTATAAAGAGAGTTGTCCTTGGTTGTTGTGTGCATGTAAGGATAGAACTTGTGGAGATTTTATTGTTAAAACATACAACCCTATCCATAAATGTTTGACATGAACTCATAACTACCTGTGCAACTCAAAGTTTTTGGCCACCAAATACAAAGAAAGAATAACTCAAAAGCCAAACATCCGCATTGTCTAGTTGCAAGACATTATTAGAAATGAGTTGCATATTAATGTTGGTAGGACAACAGTGAGAAGAGCTAGGACTAGAGTGTTACAACAGATTATGTGTGGTTACATTGTGGAGTATGGTATGATTTTTTATTATAGAGATGAAATATTAAGGAGTAATGTAGGTAGTACTTGTATAGTGAAGGTTGGAGAAGATTCTGAAACTGGGTAGAAATTTTTTGAAGGATTTTATGTTTGCTTCAATGCTTTAAAGAAAGCATTTTTTTGGAGGTGCTAGGAGGTTGACTGGCTTTGATGGGTGTTTTCTCAAAGGTGTGTGTAAATGTGAGTTATTAGTGGCAGTTTGTAGAGATAGAAACAACCAAATGCTCCCTATTGCTTGGGCAGTTGTTGAGGTTGAGAATCAGTATACCTGGACATGATTTCTTGAACTAGTGAAGAATGATCTTAAACTTGGATAAGGGCATCAACTATACATCATTAGTGATATGCAGAAGGTAATTACTGATATCCATCTTACTATTTTATTTTTGTTGAGTTTTGCACTTTCATTTATTCTTTTTCTGTTATGTTGGTTTATTAGGGACTAGTAATTGTTGTGGATACTTTATTGCCACTTGTTGAACATAGAAAATGTGCAAGACATGTTCTTGCAAATTGGTCAAAAAATTGGAAAGAAGTTGAAAGAAGAAGAGTGTCCATTGAGGATTGCTAAATCCACATTTGAAGCTGAGATGAAGGACAATATAGAGACAATGAGGAAATTAGGACAAAAAGGTTTGGATAATCTTTTATGGTACAATTTGAATACATGGTGCAAAAAGTATTTTGAAGAATATAGC